CCCGAATTTAATGTATTTACTTCCCGGCCCGATTTAAATTCATTACATTCGGGGGCCGGGAATTAATTTCGCGATTTTAATCGGGGGGGCCCGAATTTAATGAATTTAATTCCCGGCCCGAATTAAAAACATTAAAAACATTAAATTCTTTAATTCCCGGGGGGGGGGCCGGGACCGGGAATTAAAGAATTTAATGTCTTTAATGTATTTAATTCCCGGCCCGATTTACATTCATTAAATTCGGGGGCCGGGAATTAATTTCGCGAATTTAATTCGGGGGGCCCGAATTTAATGAATTTAATTCCCGCCTGCGCTATTGCAAAGCCTCAGGGGACGACCCTTGCGATTTATGAGTTTGGGATCTAGTTTGCGCAAAAGCCTTTAGGGGGACACCCCTTGCGATTTATGATCGCGGAATTTATTTTCAGTTCAAACCTGTATACACCCTTTGCGCTACATGATTTTGGGATCTGCGTTTCTTCAAAACCTAATGGGACACCCCTTGCGATCTGTGATTGTGGGATCTGCGTTTTCACACCCCTTGGGATTTATGATTTTTGGGGATCTATCTCGCGAAAAAACCTGTAGGGGGACACCCCTTGCGATCTGTGATGTTGGGACTCCCGTTTTTACGAAGCCTCAAGGGACACCCCTTGCAAGTTATGATTTTGGAAATTGTTTTTACACAAACCTGTAGGGGGACACCCCTTGCGATCTTGGTTTTTTGGATCTGAGTTTTTACAAATCTTGGGGCGACACCCCTTGTGATCTGTGCTTTGGGGATCTGTGGTTTTACAGAACCTCAAGAAAATATGTTTTTTGTCTGGAGCTCTCTTGTTTCTCGTGAAGTTGATGGGGCTTGTCTGCTGTGCTGAGATGGAGCTCTCTCCCGTCTCATTACATTGGAGGAAGCTCTCAGTCATTTCTTGTGGAGGATGAGGTAGAAGACGTTTCTTTTGGAAGCTGGGGGAGCTCTGGCTTCTCTTGCTAGGAGCGAAGTCTCTTCAATCTTCTTAAGATAAAGGCGACTTACCAAGAGGTGAAGGCTCTCTCTGCTAGAATGAAGCTCTCGTCCCTTACCAAGAATAACTTGGAGTGGGCTCTCTTCCTGTGGCACACGGTAAGGTAGGGGGCTTGGGCTTCTCATTTCCTTTTGAAAGCTGCGGGGAAGACCAGCCTCTCTCTTGTGAAAGTTTGAACTTTGGAAGAGCTCCACCTTTTTCCTTGATCGTAAGCGAGGAGATGGTCAAGAGCTGCCGCTCCTGACGAAGAGAGAAGGAAGTTTTCTTCTTATCGCCCGAGAGGCAGTCGGAGCTCTCTTCTTTCTCGTGGTGCGCTATTATATTGCCACGAACAACCCGGGGGAACTCTCTTCTTGTGTTGGAACATGAGGTCTTTTCTTTTGAAGGCTGGCGACTGAGAAGAGGTATAAGAAATCTCTCTAGAGAAATCTTCTCTTGCCTAGAATAACTTGGAATGAGAGAGCTCTGTCCTCACTTCTTGAGAGCTATCTCTCTTCTATCCCTTGGAGAGGAAGTGGTGGCGACAAGGAGCTCCTGTCTCTTATTGTCGACCAAAACGCAGCCGGGGTTCTCTTACTTCTCGTGAAGTTCGACGGGTTTCTTTTTTGATTCAGAGGATGGGGTAGAGGGCTGCTCATGTCTTGTTGAAGGTTGACAGGAGGATCAGACTCTTCTTTTGAAGATTGAGAGAGCCCTGTCCGACAGAGCTCCCTTAGCTTCCAAAAAGAAAAGTCTTCTACCATCCTCCACAAGAAATGACTGAGAGCTTTCTCCCTGTAATGAGACGCAAGAGAGCTGCATCTCAGCACCTCCAACTTCACGAGAACTCAAAGGTCTCGGTTTACCCATCGGTCGGCAGAAGAGAGAACACTTTTCTCTTTTGATCAGGGGATTGGATCCTGGTATTTCCTTGACCTTTTCAACAGATGAAAAAGAGCATACGCGCAAGAAGAAACCTCCTTTCTCTCTTGGCTAGGAATGAGATCCTGATTATTTCCTTTACTTTTTGAAAAGATGGAAAAGGGCATACGCTCCCGAAGAAAGGGTGGAGATTCCCACAACCCTCGAGAGAGCCCCTCCAAGTCATTCAGCTGATTTCTAGCAGAGAGCTCCTCTATCTCTTGGTAAATCTCCATCTACTCTGAAGAGAATTGAAGGGAGCTCGCTTATAGTCGAAGAAGACAAGGCTCAAAGCTCCTCCAGTTTCAAGAAGACGAACGAGAGACAAGAGAGCTCCTTTACCTAGTCACCGACAATGAGCTTCATTTCCCTATATGTGTAGGGAAGAGCTCCCTGGCAAGTCCTCTACCGCAGCATCTCAAAGGAACAGAGAAACCTTCCAACTTCACGAGAAATAAAAGAACTCCGGCTGCGTCTTGGTCGACAATAAGAGAGAGGAGCTCCTTGTCGTCCCATCTTCATTGGCAAGGGATAGAAGAGAGATAGCCTATCAACAGGAAAAAAAAACTCTGCTAGAAGGATGCTCTCTTATGTTGCCACGAATAACCTGGGGACTCTCTTCTTGTTTTGGAGCATGAGGTCTTTTGAAAGCTGAGGGACGACTAGATGTCTCTAGTTGGAAATTGGGGGAGTTCCACCCTTTCTTCTTGAGCGTATGCTCTCTTCCATCTTCAAAAAGGTAACGGCAATAATCAGGATCCCCTCCTCGTTTCGAGAAAGAAAGGAGGCCTCTTCTTGCTGACCGAGAGGTAAACCAGGTAAACAGAGCCCTCTTCTTTCTCGTGAAGTTGGAGGGGCCTCTTAGCTTTGTTGCGATGGCGCTTTCTTCTGTCCCATTTGATTGGAGGGAGCTCTCAGTCTCTTCTTGTCGAGGATGAGGCAGAGGACCTTTCTTTTTGGAGGTTAATTCACAGGATGAGGTAGAGGGCTGCTCGTGTCGTGTTGAAGGCTGAGGGGAGGACCAGACTCTTCTTTGGAAGATTGAGAGAGCTCTGTCCTCACTTTTTGAGCTATCTCTCTTCTATCCCCTGAGAAGGAGGAGGGGATTCTTTTCCATCTTTAAAAAGGTAACGGCAATAATCAAGATCCCTTCCCCTTATCAAGAAAGAAAGGAGGCCTCTTCTTGCCGACCGAGAGGTAAACGGAGCCCTCTTCTTTCTCGTGAAGTTGGAGGGGCCTGTTTGCTTTGTTGAGATGGCGCTTTCTTCTGTCCCATATGATTGGAGGAAGCTCTCAGTCTCTTCTTGTCGAGGATGAGGCAGAGGACTTTTCTTCTTGGAAGCCAGTTCACAAGATGAGGTAGAGGGTTGCTCATGTCGGGTTGAAGGCTGAGGGGAAGATCAGACGGTTTCGAAGATTGAAAGAGGCCTGTCCTCACTCTTTGAGAGCTATCTCTCTTCTATCCCTTGACAAGGAAGTTGGGACGACAAGGAGCTCCTCTCTCTTATTGTCGACCAAGACGCAGCCGGAGTTCTTTTATTTCTCGTGAAGTTGGAAACTGCATCCAAAGGGTCTGCCTCGACGCAGTGAGACACGAGAAGTTGGAAGGGTTCTTTGCTCCTTTGAAATTCTGCGGTAGAGGACTTGCCAGGGATCTCTTCCCTGCACATATAGGGAAAAGAAGCTCATTTCTTGCCGATGACGAACAAGCGAGCTCCCATCATTTCTCTTCAGAGGATATGGAGACTTTCCAAGAGGTAGAGGAGCTCCTGCTCGAAATCAGCTGAATGACTTGGAGGGACTCTCTCCGTGTTTTCGTTGAATGTTGGGGGAATCTCCACCCTTTCTTCTTGAACATATGCCCCTGTCCACCTTTTGAATAGGTCAAGGAAAATTTCAGGATCTCTGTCCCTTGCCAAGAGAGGAAGGAGGTTTCTTCTTGCCGACCGATGGGTAAACGGAGACCTTTGAATTCTCGTGAACTTGCAGGGGCCTGTTTGGTTGCTCTTGCCGTTTTCTTCGTGAGAGCTGATTTATTCCAGGCCTTGTTCCGAGACAAGAAACGAAGCTGTGTTTGCGTTGTTGGGGACTTGTTGCTGCTTACCGCTTGGTTCGCGATTGCCCATCTATGCGGAGTCTTGTTACAAGAAGAGAAGCGGTATTGTGTTCCTATATACTTATGCGCGATTGCTGACTTGGCATTACGCTGTCAGTTGCTTGTCTATGTTAACTTGCTGTCCGACTTAGGTCTTGTTGTAACACAAACCTGATATTAACAGACTGTTGCTCCAATACGTACTCTAGCTCGCTGGTATCAGCTAGCCGGCCTTCGTGGGACTACAACAAAACCCGAATGCCAGCTTCCAAATAGACCCTATTTAAGCCCCCCCCTCCCCCTCCCCCTCTCTCCCTGCACTCCCCCCAACTCCCCGCCTTCCTCCCACCCTCCCCTTGGCCCCCTCCCCCCTCCCCCTCCCCCTCTCTCCCTGCACTCCCCCCAACTCCCCGCCTTCCTCCCACCCTCCCCTTGGCCCCCTCCCCCCTCCCCCTCCCCCCCCTCTCCGAGAGGCCCCCCTATAGCATGGTGTATACTACAATCACTGCCCCCAACCCTGCCGCTACAGAGCCGAGGCGGGCGGCGTAGCGTTAAAATTAGTAACAAATTAGTAGTCGTAGGCGGAATCGGCGACGGCAAGCAAGTGACAACCTCCCAAACTAGACCTGCAAAACCTCACGCCAACATGTCTGACTGGCCTCTGCCCGGAAGCTGTCATGGGCTGCTGGCGGGGCATCGCGGCACTCGTACCCCGATGGCATGACAAAACATCAAAACGACACGGTTGCATACTAACGCTGAAGAATGCTGTTGGAAGCGCCAAAACTGTGCACAAGTTGTGTAGTTTGAGTCTGGGTCCGTAAACTGCGCCTGAAATTTGGTTGGAGTCAAGACTGTTGAATCGAGAAACCCGCCACCCCAGCTGCGCAGCAGGGTCTGCAGGCACGCTCCTGGACCCTCCTTTTCCCTGACACTCTTTAGATCGGCACCCAAAGGACATTGATAGCGATCGCTGAAGGCCATCAGTCGATGTCGTGCAGTGTGCCGTACCTGGAAATGATGGGGTTGTAGACAGCAGAGGCTCCAGAATGAATCTGTTTCCAAACGACGGCCCAGTCCAAGCCAGCAAGACCGTTGCCGTTCAAGTGCTTGGTGCGTTTGCGACAAGTCGGGGCATGAGCTGACGCCTTTGGCACATCGAGACGCTGCGAAGCACAAGGGGTGGGCTTTATCTTCTGAGTCGGCTCTCTAGCAGCAAGCCTAGAGTCGGTGTTGACATCTGGAAGTCAAGCCTGCGCTTCACCTCCCCGGTCCCTTCTGAAGGGGCACTCAGCGTAAGGCTTTCCAGGCTCGTCCTCTCCGAGGCCGAGGGTGCTCAGAAGGTCTAAGACATTCTACAAGTAAGACTCCAAGGCTCTGGGGTGCCTTGGCTCTCGAAGACCCTACACGACCAGGAAACCAGAAACAACACCCTCTGGGATTCTGAACACAGGCCTTTCCGTGCGCTAGCCCGGGACGGAGCTTCTGTCCGAAAAGTGTCCTGGCAAAGCCAAAAGTTTCCTCAGGTTGTACAGGCCCCGAGCTCCAGGCAACAAGCGCCAGGGCGACTGCTCGAACTTCTTCGCCTGAGGGGACAACGTGCCCATCGCTCTTGGCTGCCACTGAAAGTCTTCATGCCTAGATCTCGTCCCTGACTCTCCATTCAGTGATTGCTTCAACGCGTGCATTACAGAGGCAGTTTATGCATCGTTGTTGCAACAAGCAAAGGACATGCACAACAAAAACTGAAGGAACTGATTGAGCCGTGTGCATTGAGCGTGCGCAGGCCACAAAAACAGCAGACGGCACGAGGCAAGAAAGAGCAAGTACCGGAAAGACAAATCGAGCACCGCTGCTGTTTGTCAGCAGCAGGCATCCATTGGCATATATAAGCCTACAGTATATGTATATACTAGAACCGATGGATGTTGCGCATGATGGAGCATGCGTGATCTGGAAACCGGAGGACGGGCATGCTTGGCTGCTATGGCTGCTTTGCAAATTGATCAACTTGCACAAGTGCACATGCTGCGCCTTTCTTGCCGGCTCCACTGGACGAGCTCAACACACTCCACTCTTCATTTGCACATGCCGCGTGTACCGTGTGTCACCGCGGTTGGTATCTCGCCGGCAGCGGATGCAATCGACTTTCTGAGGATGTCAATGACTCTTCAAGCTAGAGCAGTGTATTATTCTCCTGTGGAGCCAGAGAAGCAAAGAGGTTCTCAGCGACTGCCGAACGCTCCAAACTTCAACAAACGGTATAGAGCAGGCGTCATTATGTCGAAGTCTTTTTACAGCTGATTGATTTGCAGCTTCGAAGTTGCTGCGCGCCTGCTTTTCCCGTCGAAGCTCTGCCATGCGGTGCGCATCTTCCTGGGACCTGCTGCAGGGCAAATAAATCTGACGAGGCTCTGTACGTAGGGCTTCGGATTTCTGAGTGGGGTCCTCTGACACATCCTTCAGCCTACAACGGGATTAAGGGTCACCGACTGGCACCGGAAAGTGGTCTGAATGCAAAGCCTGAATCTTGGCACGAAGCTGTTGAATCGCCTATGCGAGTTCCGCAAAAGAGCCTGCCCGATGCTTCCTCCTTCCTTGCCTCCATAGCAGCCTGCAGATGACATCACAAGCAGGAGATGCTTATTCTTCAAGAACTCGGAACGGCACGGAAGCACTGCCACCTGAGGTCCCGACCCTCTCTGCCACGGGAGACTTCAACAGTTGCACAAACCTCGCAGCAATTTTCACAATTAGTGGCTTTCGTCCGATTCTGGTCTCCAGTTCGCCAGCTCCGAACTGCGGCTTTTGGCGATGGAACGGCTCCTGCGTTCGATCGTCGCGCCGATCTGCGTCAACATCCCACGTTCGCTGCAGGAATTGGGCTTTGCTTGTTCGATGCAAGCGCAATCCAGCTGTTGCCTCCTTCTAGCTGATTCTAGCTACCGTTTGTGCTGTAATTTGCGAGTTGATCACCTTGACAAGGGCACACACCACGAAAGCAGAAAAGGAAGCGGTTCGTGTTGTCTTATTGTCCTGACCTGACCCACAGCGACTGAAGTGGATTGAAGCTTGCTTCCGGAGGCTTCCCAGTTTCGGTACCATGCGGAAGGGTTTTGACTACTTTCAGGAGGCCGAACCATGCTTGGTACCGGATGTACCACCGGTGGGGAGCTATTGCGGGCTTAGTTATACCAACAACATGCAAGAAACGAGTCACAGTAGCAGCACTGGCGGTGGCAGACAAAATCTGGAATGTTCAAGCTTCTTACGGGCGATGGATGGCACAAGCACCACTGAGCAGCATTCTAGACCAGAGTGGCACAAGCTCGCCCGGTGCGAAGCTTGATAATTTACCGGTGCTTCCTCGCTGAGGTGGCCTGTTGAAACTGTACCGCGTGCGCAAAGTCTGCCCACAGCCTGGCTAAATCTACCGTATATAAATGGACAGACGCATTCCGCACGAGCGTCCTCCATACTTACATGCAGGTCGCTGTGATATCCAAAACTCACGACTGAGCGCCAGGCGCAACTTGACCGTACTCCTGCGCCAGCTGCATTGCCGTCAGGCCTCTCGCACCGGTGCCCGAGCTTGTGCGCACGGACGGGCGGACACGGCACTTAGCCCGGCTCTTTGCCGCCGACGCAGAAGCCAGCCGGAACTCAAGAGTAGGCGACTGCTAAGGATGCTGATGGGGGTTGCAGGAGAAACCAGAAGCGTTTGCATCGCCCCAGTAGCACCCACTACATCCACTACCCGTTGCAAGCTCTCCAAGACTCGGACCGCTAGAGCTCTCGGCCAAAGGGTTCGCGCGGTGAGTCAGCAAAGTCTGCCCCAGGCCTTATACCCGATTCAGGGACCGGGGACTCTCAAGGTTTCTTCACACCCTTGCAGCTTGCAGCACTTGCAATGTCTTCCCGGAGGTCTCTTCTGGGCCACGCGCCCTCCAAGCCGGCAGCGGCAGCCTCCGTTGACTGAGAGTGTCCGCGCTTGCACTGGCTGGGTCGCAACATCTGAATGTTCCGCGTTCGTTCGCGAACACTTCCGACGCGAGGGGAGTGACTCGCGGAGTTGGCCGGGCGGTTTCAGGATGAGCGGGAAGGGGAAGCGGGTTCCGTCACTTGGCCGCCATGAGTGATCCAGATCTCTCCAGATGCAGGCATACATACATACATACATTACATTAATATATATATATATACATACATACATACATACATACATACATACATACATACGTACAAACATGCATACATACATGTATTTGTACATATAGACATAGATGCATGTATGTACATATACACATGAGAAAACACACACAGATATATTATGGTCACGCGCTCCGTGGCCCCCCCCACCCTTCCCACCAAAGGTCAATGGTCCGGATATAGGGTGAGCACACCCTCCCCTGTGGTGTGGGGTGTGGGGTCTTCTTCCCCCTGTGGGTGGTTGTGGGGTTTAGGGGTTTAGCTTGACCTTTTGAGTTTTGGGTTTATGGTTAAAAAGTATAAGGCTTCGAATCGACATGGGTTTATGTTAGGGTAGACGGTTTATGTTCTGGTTTAGGCTTAGAGCCTGCATTTAGGCCGGGTGGCTTGGGTGTTGGGCTTGACATGAACTACAGGTTAAGGCGAATAAAAAAGGAGCACGCGCTAGGTTTTAGGGTTTATGGCTTGGCTTGGGTACTGCTTGCCCGTGACCCCTTTCCGCAGCACCTCCCCACCATCCAGCGGCACCCCTATACCGACCGGACCATTGGGGGGGCGCCAGACGCCTGACCATAAAAATATATATATATATATATATACATACCTGCTAATCCCTTGAGCCCTTAATAAAGCGTTGCATCCTCAATTCCCTAAGAAACACTGAATCGTGCAATAATTATTGCACCGGGAAGGTCGAACCCGTTTTACCCGTAGCAAGCATTAGCTGCCGTTTGCCAGGGGCAAGTGGCCCATAATTACAGTTGTGTATTGTTGGAGTCAATACAAAGAAGGCCCTCAGGTTGCCATTGCCCTAAAATGCAATCCTCCAGATCCCGAAGTCCATCCGGTGCTGTGTTGGTTCCTGTCCTCCCAAAACCCTTCAGAGATATATACCTTAGAATGCGACCCTGCATGTGGGAACCGAAAGCAAAGCCTTGTGCTCCATGTGTGATCGTCGGCTACATGAACTGCCTCTCCCTGTGGTGCCTGCCTGTTTATTCTGTGCAGAGGGAAAGTTGTGCGCTGGATAAATCGAGGGTTGTGATGCTGTGCACTGGTGATTCATGGGCATGGAAGCTTTGCGCCAGACAAAATTTTGGGCTTGACAAGTCGAGGGTTTAGGTTTGCCTTCGAAGTGATGGCCATGATCGGGGCTGAAGCCCAGAGCTTCGAGGACCCAAATGGAAGTCAAGGGGAGAGGGTGACTGATCATTCCTTTGCTGGGCTCGCAGAGATATGGGACAATACTGCAGAGTTGAGGAAACGGCTTCGCAGCAAATACAATCTGTTGGTTCACCACGATCCGAAACTTCAGAGGTACTCGAATCTTAAGGTGGAGCAGACCGTGTGGAATGTTCGGGCAAATGCTGCCGTTTTGACGCCAGTTGTCAAGATTGTCGAGGAGAAAAATGGGCTTCCATCCATAGACAGACTCATGGAGCAGGTGGAGAAGGTCTTCAATGACAATTCTTTTCCTATACCAGAGAGCCTCGTTCACTCTCAGACTTGGGCCATTCGTCATTTGATTTCATGCATGAAGAAGAACTCGAAAAAAACTTCATGGCACCAGGACAGTTATAGTTGAATGTCAAACAGTTCATCATAGCATCTTCTCTAGCGCCATGTGGTATATACACCTTAACCAAGATTCCTGCTGCAGGATCCGGTGACCCGCCAGCTTCTTGTGGACCTGGGCCTTGTGGAGATGCAGGCAGGAGTTTTGGTTCGTTTCGGTAGCCAGTGTGTTTCAATTCTTTGGACAGGAGGATGGTAGCATCAAGGTGTTGAAGCAGAGCTCGCCTCAAAAGGAGGACGGTGTGCAAGATCATGAGCATTTCCAAAAAGAGTGGCCCGGCCCTTGAAATAGTGCAGGAGCCGCTGCCTTTCCTAGAGCCGGTGTTTCCAGAATGCCCGGGCGATTCGCAGTTGGTTCAGGATGAGGATGCTCAGCATCCGGTTCCTGAGGCCGGGCTCTGTTTGTTCTGGTGGTTGTAACAAAAGCGACATGGGTTGTCTGATTGAGATGCTAGTCAGGAGCCATCGGCTGCTGATGAGCAGCCACTGGCAGATGCCGTTGGGGAACCCGTGGCGAATGCTCCGTTGGAACCCGTGGCGAATGCTCCAATCGAACCCTTGGCGAATGCTCCAGTCGAACCCTTGGCGAATGCTCCAGTCGAACCCTTGGCGAATGCTCCAGTGGAACCCTTGGTCTTGGCGAATGCTCCCGAGGAACCCGTGGCGAATGCTCCAGTGGAACCCTTGGCCTTGGCGAATGCTCCCGAGGAGCCCGTGGCCTTGGCGAATGCTCCGGAGGAACCCGTGGCGAATGCTGTAGTGGAACCCTTGGCGAATGCTCCTGAGGAACCCTTAGCGAATGCAGCACCGTGTGCCGTTGTCCCCAACGATTCCGCGGCCCGGGTTTAGTGTATATACGAGGTTCAGAGATTCGGAGTCGCACTAAATTCAGCATGTCTTAGGCCCCGGCAGGTGGTGTTATCATCCGATGAGGAGACTGCTGCCATGAACAACAGCAGCAACGAGGACCTATCCCGTGTGCTGAGTGGCCTGCTGTCCCAGTTGTGTCTCATCTCAACAGGGTGTGAGCTGTGCTATATTTATTGCAATGAGCAGCCTTGTTTAAGCCTCCACCAAACCACCCACCCACCCACCTCACGCACGAGGTTCCTGCAAAGAATTCTTGCCATTCTGATGCACCCGAGGAATGTTTCGCCAGTTCCTAGAGACATGATGAACAGGGGCGAAGTTCGAGTGCAAGCCAGCCCTCAGCACAGCTCCCTGCCTTCAACATATATACGTGAAGGTTAGAGTTTCGTGATCTGCAGACAATTAGCACGACCTGTTGAAACCACGAAGGTTCTGTGCCACCGCCAGTGACCGATGGATCTGTGCCACCTGCGTCGACCGGTGGTCGCAGTGAAAAGGCAGTTACTTGGAACAACATGATGGGTGTGGATTCCGAAGATTGTGTATCCTAGAACATGATTGTGCCGCCATCACATGGGGTGATGCCTTGATTAATTCCTGAAAGGCTTCGGCAGTGGCACCATGCGAGTTGCCAGAGCCTGTGATTGATGCCGCTGATGGCCCTGGTGGGAACCCGAGCAACGGCGACATTGATTTCCCGAAGGTGCAGCATGATGGGTATGTGACCCGCCGGGACCAGTTCGCTGCAAAAGAGGATGTAGCAGAGAAGTGTGGCAAGGGCAAGGGTCGTGGACGAGGGAGGGGCAGAGGGCGAGGCAGGGCAACGGCGGCTAAGTCCAAGCCAGAGAAGAAGCAGGTTGAGGGAAGGGAAAGCTCTTCCAGCAATGGGCCCATCGAGAAAGGCTCCGACCTCCGTCGCATGGAGCACCACTTGCCCGAGGAGGATGACGAGCCCATGGAGACACCGAGGCGGGGGAAAGGCAAGGCTAAGGCAAAAGCCTCGCCAAAGGCAAAAGCGCCGAAGGCTAAGGCAAAGGCTTCGGCCAAAGGCAAAGCAAAAGCATCGCCCAAAGGCAAGGCAAAAGGCAAGGCAGCAGCCTCGCCGAAGAGCGACCTCGCCGAAGAGCGAGGCAAAAGCTACCGAGACCGCCGATGATGCCGAGCAGGGAAGCAGGAAGAGGAAGTGCCCCACGACCCGAAGTCTGTC